AGGATCTACTTATGTATCACTTATATACAAACCTATAGGTCTGAATTGCAAAAAAATGTGTTGAAGACCTTTTTAATACAATTCTCATCATAACTGCCAGACTGGTTATCTATAGACGGATATATTGAAAAGATCATACAAAAATATCTTAGGGAATCTTTTTAATTACTATCTAAGGGAACTTCTTAATAAAATGTTAGAACAGAAGTCTTGAAACAATAATTAAAAACCACATCTAATCTATATAGCTCTCCATTCACAAAAATATGCCAGGTTACAAACAATCCCATATTAATCCTTGCACGGTTGAAAGGACCGGAGGGATTTCTAGGAAATTGTTTCCTGTCATTCCCTTAAGTAGCCAAGGGGAAGTTAAAAATTAAAATTAATTGAATCCCACTTGCTTAGGATCTAGCAGATGTATATTTAACATCTTTTCCTTTCGAATTCCAGGTCCATCCGTTCTCACCAAGAGACAAACTACTACTGTCTTCTTGCTAATTCTGTTTTATGAGCTGCAAATTTAGCTTGGCTTTCTGCTTGCCTCGGGCTTGCAGATTATTGGCGTGGATAGGGACTGTAGCCAGCAGACTGAAAGCCCAAATTATGAGCATATAGAAATATGAGTTGCACCTCATTTGCAGTTAGATATAGCTGTCCAGAAATGTGGGTAAAACTGAACTTGTAGCTGTGGGTTACTGCCTGTCCTCAGTGGACTCATCTAAGTCCATTTTTTGTTATGATTGTCCTGGGGAATAGTTCTGGATACTGTGGTGATAATCTACTTGCAATCCGTTTAGGAATTAAGATTAAGATGCCACTTAATCAAGTATTTTGAAACCTTTTCTTACTTTTGTCAAACCTCCCCAAATAAAATTCTAGTGAAGTCTTTTTGACTGATTTACCATGACATTTTTTTCCAGAGGGCCTAGAACAGTATCTCTTAAATTTGTTTTCCGTCCTTATAAAAACGAGGGATGTTAAACTAATTAGTCTTATTTAGTTTTCTGAATTATATGGGAAACACTGCTAAATAAGTAATATTAAACTTTAATTTTTATTTATATGTATGCATATATGTGCTTAATATAAGTGTTCTAAGATTACATGAATTCCTTATAGGTTCATATATCATTTATTTATTATTATTTTAAAAATTATTTTTATTTATTTATGGTGAGAGGATACACCAGAGACAGAGGAGGGGAGCAAGACAGGCAGGTCTACTCAGAACACTGCTGAGGGGGCCAGTGAACAAGACAGGAGGTCTGTGCCATGTGGGTCGGCTTCCTGGGCAGGGATGGAACTTATGCTGCAGTGGCTGGGCAGTGGCTGGGTAGTGGCTGATGATAGCTTGATAGTACCAAGACTTTAACCCCTGCACCACCAAGGAGGCCCCCTATATCATTTAAATACCATGTAGGTTTTTTTCAGAGAAATGTCAAGTCCCCGAATTACTTATGAAATTAAACAAAGAATAAAGCGTATATTACGAAGTTTAAAAAAAAGTCCACTGCCCATCTAAGACACTTGACCTCACACACAGCTACTGACTTGCACTGAAGTGGAAACCTCCCTTTAAATGTCATTCTTATCACTGTTTGAAATGTTCTGCTACCTAATTAAATGCCAATCCAGTTTTTTTAGAGTTTAAAATTTGACATTTACACTAAGATTCTAGATATCATTCCCTAAAACCATCAAATAGTTATTGTTGGAAAATGCCCTGACAACTTACTTTTTAAAAGGAATAGTTATCCGTTAGTTACCTAGAATTTTGATATCATAACAGCTTATAAAGCTCATAAAATATAAAGTACCACCACAATTCTCTTTAAACATATATATTTCCTCTTAACATATAGAAGGCAAGGAAAATACTCATTCAAACCTGCTATAATTATAGTGACCTTTTTTCTATAGGTCACATTTCAGAGCTAAGTGAATTTACCAGCATATCATCATTTAAAAAATCATTTTGTTCAGTTTAATTATAAGACGCTATGATATATGCATTATAGGTGTGTTTTGAACAAAAAAAATTGTACACAACTGCTGTCAGGACAAAATTTCTTAAATGAAACATGTCTAACCACACTGATCTCACTTGTAGAAGAGCCCCTAGGAAGCAGATATTCACATGACACAAAGTAAAATACGTATCAGACGAAGTAAAACTTACTGCTTATAACTCATATGTGAGAATTCGATGCTAACTTCCTGTTACTTCTAAATTAAACTACTAAATCATCTAAATACCTGCCAGCAGCTGAATATTTGTATCCTCACAAGTCACATGGTAAAACCTTAGTGCCCAGGTGAGACTTTGCAGTGATTACATTATAAAGGCAAGGCCATGAAACGGATCTTTGTGAGAGTGGCTTGAGAAAGTGCTCTAGCCTCCTCACCCTTGGGAGATTACAGAGAAAAAGATAGCCATTTGTGAGCCAGGTGGTTGCTGGATCTTGAACTTCCCAGTCTCCAATTCTCTGAGAGATAAATTGCTGTTGCTGAGAGGCCACCCATGTTTGTGGTATTTTGTTAGACTGGTCTGAGTGATTAAGAGACTGTTTATTAAAAACAAAGAAGTTAAATAAACTGTATTATATAGATTATGTGTATATTAAAATGTAGATCCTGATGCCATATTTAAAATGAGTAAATAAATCACAAACCTGTATATATAGCACTTACCCATTTTTCTTCAATAAAAAGAGACATGCATTTGTATTGAGATACAGGTCAGAAAAAGAAAAGTTTTAAAGCTTTCCTGAGAATCAAATCTGATTTTGAATGCCAGTTTCAATACTTGCTACTTGGCATTCTATTTTCACCAGCATATTGGGCATGTTACTAGCCTTTCTCAATCTCAACTTCTAAGTTTTGAACTGGTAGATATTAATTTTACAGGACAGTTGTGAAATAAATGAGACAATACATGAAATGGATAATCACCACAATAGTCATTACAGGGCTCTTTCTGGTGGCGCAACGGGTTAAAGCTCTGCACTATGAAGCTCTCAGAAGCCACTGCAGCACAAATTTGATCCCCAGCCAGCTAGCTGACCCACATGATGTGGCAGACCTCTCCTGACCTGCCAGTTGCTCCCCTCACAGTGTGTTTAAGTACATCTGCCTGCTCTGCTCCCTACTCTGTCTCTGGTGAATCCTCTCACTGCCCCTGAACCTCTGGCCTGTACCCCAGTTCTGTATGCATAAATAAATAAATCATTTAAAAAAATCTGTTTCACATCTTTCTCCCACTAAAGTCTTAATATGTAGCATTTGCATTTAAATACCTTCAGTGAAATTATTCTAAATGATATTTATATGGCAAAAATAAAGAACAAAATACAGTAAGTTTAAAAACAGTGGCAGAGAGGCCGTCGCTGGTGGTACAAAGGGTTAAAGAGCAGCACTATGAAGCTATCTGCAGCATCAAGACAGGTAACCCACATGGCACTACTCCCCTCAGCAGTGTGTTTCAGTACATCTGCCTATTCTGCTCCCACTCTGTCTAACCTTGTCTGCACCCCATTCTTCCCCCTCCCACCTTTGGCCTGTATCCCAGCTCTTATATGCATAAATAAATAAATCTTTTAAAAAACAAAAACAGGAATTTAGTTGCAGACTATCTGACAAACAGTACCAATTCAGTCACCAGGTGGTTGATGAATTTTATCAAAGCTTTTTGTCACATTGAAGATAATACTTCTAACATTACCTCTGTGGCTTCTTACCATAGAAATGCAAAATATTTTGATGAATATGCTGACTCTTCCTTTAATGTTTTCCTCAGGGTTGGACCATCTCCTAAAAATTTTCTTCCCTGCCATTTTTAGTAAGCGCACTAAAGTCTATTGAATATAATAGTGAACTTCATTTACAGCAATAAACCATGTTTTTAAGAGCAAATAAAATTATAATAAAACTTTCAAGAAAATATTTAAGAGAAAAATTAGTCATTGGATTACCCCTAGCACTTTCAAGGTCTCTTTAGGGGCAGTTTTAAATAAACAAAGCTTAAAAAAAGATTTTAAATTATTTGTTAGGTCTACAAAACAATTGAATGGAAAATAGCATCATATTAACATGCAAACAAAATTAGAACTAAAAGTAGAAACCTCATGATACAACTATTAACCACCAAGGGTCATTTATGCAAATTCCTTTAGTTCAATTTGCAAACAACATACCCTAAAAATTATCCAGAACAAACTCAAACCAACAGAATATAGGCATAACTAGATTATTTCATTCTATTATATTTCAACTGGGAGCAATCAGAACAGTTAAAATGAATGTTTGGTTGACTATATCTAAAAAGACAGTAAACATTGCAGATTTGGGGGCACATTTTCTAAAATTAGCATACAAATCACAGTTAAAATTATATTAAACGCCTTACTATATTGATTTCAGTTAGCTTACATATATTTTGGTAAATATGGATGCTTAACTTTAGAATATTTATGTAAAGAATTAAAATTATGATCTAGCTATGTAGCTATTAAGCTTATAAAAGCTTCAAATAGAATAATTTTCCAGTTAAACTTGCATGTTTTAGGGTTAGTCTTGAAAGGAAGTCAACAAGGTATTACAACCTTAAGCACTTTACTTCCTCCAATGACTTTCTAACAGTTAAGTCAATTCATAATAGATAACAGTGAATGAATGAAATCTCAATTAAGTGGTGACAGGAAGAGAATTCTGATCAACGTGGAATAATTATTTTCAGCATACAAAATTTGCCCATAAAGTGACACCTTCTTTTTTAAAATAAACCTTAAAAATCCTGCCTGCATTCTGAAAGTATTAAAATGTTTGGAGGACCATTCTTAAAAGATTAAGAATTTTTCTGTTTCAAATCCATCAGAAAGTTTCAATTTTACTAAAGTAAAAATGCCAGTAAATTATTATTCTGTCAATTCAATATTTAAAGTCAGGTATTGCAGTTTTAAACAAAATTATTAAAGTTTACAATAAGAAATGCCACTTACAAGCTGTTCTGATTTTACACCATACAACTGGATGGTCTTTGCCACATTTTTTGACACTGCTAATGTGAGGTTTGTATCAACAGCAGCTACGTTTAGTTCACTGGAGAAAACAAAAACAGACTAATTATTAGCAACATAGTACATCAACAAAGTAAAGAGCAACGTATAAATCTAAACCAAATAAGCAATGAGATAATTCTTTTTATAGATTTCACTGATTGCTTCCAAGAATTGGTCGCACTGCTTCATTTTCCCTTCTAAATTCAGCATTAGGGAAAAGTGCTTTGAGATGGCTTGGTTAATGACCAGTTTCTCATTAATAAAAGCACATCATGTGTGGGTTCAGGCTGTGATTAGGAGAGTAAATTGTGTACAGATTTTTAAAGTAGCATTCTTGTTAATACTGATAAGTGCAATTAGAGAGTGCATATCACAGACATCTGCAAGGAAATAAATGACAGTTCTTAAATGGAAATGATGACCTTGAAAGGATATAGGCTAAAAATATAAACTACACATGATACATAAAGATACTCAGTTTCTGTAGAAATTTTGCCAATTCAAGCAGTTCTGTATATTGTAGCTTTTTAAATATATCAAAAGCATAACAAAAAAATTTGAAATTTTAAAAGAAATGAATAAAGTATTTCTTCATTATGCTGATTTCAACTTAACAGTGGATTGTGACATTTGAGAAGACAGGCCAAAAAAAAAAAAATGAAAAGAAGGAAGAAAGCACAATGGACTATGGTGGGAGTATATGGGTGTGGTGATGGGTGCACTACAGTGGTGATACTGATTCGGTGGGACCCTTATAGAATCGCAATTAAGTAGTATATAAATAAATTTACTCATAACAAAAGAAAAAAGGGTTAGCTACTACAAAGGTAAATAAAAGTAAAGTGTTTAGAAAGACCATGAAAGAATACTAGGAGTTAAAAATTACATTAAAAGCCAGACATTGATGGGGAAGCAAGAGAAGTAATTATTGTCTCTGAAGTAGAATAAATACTGGTATTAATCAAATGTCTATGAAAAAAGAGTAGGAATTTGAGGCAAAACTAGTACATACATTGTGTGACAAAAATGCCATTTAATGTAAGAGACATTTTATTAATGCTCACTTTTTTTTCAATGCTCACTTTTAGGTTCTATTAACCAGAACTCCAAATTACATATGGTTAGCATAGTCAAACTGCATAGAAGATGCCTTTTTAACATTTCCATAAACAGTTCAAAGAGATAAATTGAATCCAGGATTGTTTTTGTCACTATTATACTAAACAGGTAACAGAGACCTTAGGATAAAGAGTCTACGGTCAGGTCTTTGGAAAGTCAAAAAAATTGTGGAGAAGTTTAGGAACAAATTGTTGGACAATTTAGACACTTCTTTACTTCGTATTCTTTCTGTGTCGTCAATTTTTATGCTGATTTTCATTTATCAAACTATATTCAGTCTTATATTTTTCCTTTGACAAAGACTATTAAATGTTTATAACCATTTCCGCCTGCTTTCTTACTCCTGTAACTATAAAGATGCGCTTTGTATAGCCTACTCATGGTTTTTGTTTTGTTTTGTTCTGTTTTGTCTTACTCTCACATTCCCCAGGAACACCACCTTTAAATTTGCATTCTAAAAGAATCTAGAGATTTCTAAATGGTCCTATATTGACTACCATTTTTACTCCACAAAATATTCTGCAAATGCACAGGACCTACTGTAATGACAACTTAAGTATGACAGAAACTGAGATAGTCGCAACTGTATTGAATAAATTATGCTGATAACCATTAACCTGAAAAATGTCTTGAGGCAGTAGTATAACTACATTGTCTGCAAGCATTCAGAAGGCACCTCTATTCTGATATCTCCCCTTTGAGAGTTTAAAAGCTGTCACATTCACTTAGAAAGCTTAAAATAGCAAATAGAAGTAAACTAATCAGGATTATAATCCTGTGTGTGCTGAGAATTACTTTCAGGATTAAGACACAAAAACATTAACTTTTATGTTTTATCTCAATTTATAAAATTATTACTATACTCACTTTCCTGCAGAATATCAAAAATTTATTATGGCATAAATAATTAGGTTTACCAAACATGGAGCTTCCCTACGACCCAGCAATCCCACTCCTAGGTATCTACCCAAAAGACACAAAAACACTGATTGAAAAAGATACTTGTACCCCCATGTTTATTGCTGCTTTATTTACAACTGGGAAAACATGGAAGCAGCCCAAATGCCCAAAAGTAGATGACTGGATTAGAAAGATGTGGTACATATATACAATGGAATATTACTCAGCAACCAAAAAAGAGAAACACATGTCTTTTGCAGCAACTTGGATGGAGCTGGAAAAGATCATGCTTAGTGAGATAAGTCAGAAAGAGAAAGAAAAATACCAGATGGTGTCACTCATAGCAGGAGTATAGTGGACCAGGCGAGAAAATAACAAAAATAATGAACAACCATATACCAGAGACTTTTTGTGGGGGTGGAGTGGGGGATGGGATAAAAAACGGGGGTGGGGGGGAAGGGAGGGAAATGCACGGGACTATGGTGGTGGCACAGGGGTGATTTGGTGATGGGAAACCCGCGAGGATTACAATCGAGATGGAAAAAAAAATGTGCAAAATGATGTAAAAATAAACTTTGTAATAAAAAAAAGTACAATCGATAAAAAAAAAATTAGGTTTACCTTGCATCCTGACAAGAATAATTAAATAGACCATTTTTATACTGTACTTAAATGGTTTTTAAACTGGGACCCAAGGTACTCAATACATGTACTCCATCACTGAAAAACTCAGGTTTAATTGCAGAACTAATTACTTGGACAAATTGAGATAAATTAAAAACGTACTACTATGACACATTACTATCACATAAGGCAAACATTTTATGGCATCCTTTATATAAAAATCACATACCTTCCTATAGTTTTAATGATACCTTCAAGTTCATCTGCAGATGGAGGATTACGACCCCCCGGGGGGAAAACCAAGTTGATAGGATCAAAGAGTCGAGATAAAGATTTTGATAAATAAGCAGCTTCAAAAGGTTGCAGTGAGTCTTTCAAAGCTTTTTCTGGACTGTGGGAACAAAATTAGTTAAAAGTGAACTTAAATTTCATCACACTAAGTACCATTATATTAGGCTGCAAATACCTTTCTTAAATGTAACTCAATATGAACAAAAAAAATTTGCTTAACAATAGGAGCCTCCCTGGTGATCCAAGAGTTAGGTGTCAGCATTATGAAGATATCTGCAGCCATTTCAGCACAAGTTCCATCCCTGGGCAGGGAGCTAACCCAGATGGTACAGCAGACCTTTCCTATCTCATCCACTGCTCCTCCCAGAAGTATATTTCTGGCAGTCTACCTATTCTCTGCTCCACACTCTATCTCTGGTGAATTCTCTCTCTCTCTCATACATACACATACATGCACACGTACACACCCCACACCTCTGGTCTACACACCCTAGCTCTTGTATGCATAAATAAATAAAATAGCAATCAAAATTTATATAAAAATAAAAGACAACACTCAATATGCCAACAAACAGGTCTGATTAAACAAACATACTCATAATCTGGTCTTTTAGGTAAGAATATGCCCTGCATATCATCTTCTATGTGTTGTAAGTCAACATGGAGATCTGTAGTTCCACTTGCATTAAATTTTCCTTGAATATTTTGGCTGTATTGTTGAAGACGTTTCCATAAATCATTATAAAGGCGCAATAATTTAGGGTATTCTCCTTCAAATGCCTGTTTTAAAAACATAGAAGCTGCCAAGTAAAATAGTGACATGAATTAGATAAATGATAAATAATAAAGTGTAATAAATACTGACTTTGCATACGAAGATGATGCCACATACAGCCTAAACAAGCCAAAAATGGGTTCCAATAAGGAGCTTTATAATAATGCTAATAATATTAATTTTTAAAAATTCAAGCTTAGGGCTCTCCCTGGTGGTGCAACAGGTTAAAGCACCGCATTATGAAGCTCTCAGAAGCCACTGCAGCACGAGTTCGATTCCCCGCCAGGGAGCTGACCCACATGGCATGGCAGACCTCTCCTTACCAGCCCGCTGCTCCCCTCAGCAGTGTATTTCAGTAAACCTGCCTGTTCTGCTCCCCACTCTGTCTCTGGTAAACCCTCTCATCCATAACTCTGGCCTATACCCCAGTTCTGTAAGCATAAATAAATAAATCTTTAAAAAAAATCAAGTCTAGCCCAAGCAGGGAGCCTCTACTAAGAAGACAGAAATTATTGAAGCTGTTTCATGGTTCATGGGGCCATAATAAAAAATTTTAAATTAAGGAATCACAAACTGGTTTCCCATGGAAGATTTACTTAGCTGTGAGTTATAAGAGAAGCTGGGGTATTATATCTAAAGCTTCAAAAAATAGAGTAAATTATCCCTTGCGTTTGTGGAAACATATGTGAGGAAACCAAATGCCAACTGGAGAAAGAGAACATACCATAAATATAGTCAGGTCTTTCTTTTCATGAAGACATCCACCAGATTCTTAAGTTACATGAGGTAGGAGTTAATAAGCAAATCTTAGATGGCAGAGCTAGATTAACCTTAGGGCTGAGGAAAGATTTTCTAACTTCTCAGTTCAAAGCCTGGGAAAAGTATGTCCCCAAAAAGGAGAATTAAAGATAGACTGAGTTTTACTTAAATAGCAAGTGTCCCAATCCAACTCAACTCTAGAGTCTATTGAAATGACCAACCTACATAAAACTGGAGTGCCAGAGAAAGATATAAAGAATCCAACAAAATACTTCAGAATACGTAAGTAAATCTTATGAATCAATAACACAGACAATTCCATAGAAACTATAATAATTTATAAAGAACCTTCTCCAAATGATTAATAAACAAATAGCAATATGAATAATATCATTAATCACAAAGGAACTACAAATTAAAACCAAATATGACTCAATTATACACCCACCATAATACCTAAAACAAGTAACAGAAAATACCAAGTATTATAAAGGAAATAGAAAAACTAGTGTTCTTATATACTGCCAATGTGTGTTTAAAATGTTTTAACAACACTGGAAAACTCTTTGAAAGCATCTACTAAAAGTTGAGCACATGAATATTCTTTGGTGTACTATGTTAGTGTCCTATAGCTGTTGTAACAAATTACCACAAATTTTGAGTCTTAAAATAACACAACTGTATTCTCATGTAGGTCTAGATGTCGGAAGTATAAATTGTGTCACACTAAGTCAAAACCAAGATGCCAACAAAGCTCTGTTCATGGGCAGTTTTCCCTTGATCTTTCCACCTGCCTCCATTCCTTACCATGTGGAGCTTCTTCCGGCAATTATATCACTCTGACCTTGGCTTCCATAATCACATCTCTTCCCTTTGACACTCCTGCCTCCTCCTCATGCTTTTAAAAAACCTTAATGACTTACACTGGGCCCAGCAAGATAATCCAGAACACTCCTTCCACCTCAAGATCCTTAAACTACATCTGCAAAATCCTTTTGCCATGTAATCACTGGAAATCTCTGAGAGGGTTATTACTTGGTCAATCACACCTATTTTTCTTCCCTAAGTTTATTTCCAACAGAGGACAGAATTGCCATAGCAATATTATTTAAAAATAGTTCAAAATGGGAAACCACCAAATGCCCATCAATAATACAGTAGATAATGTATTATCATTGATAATGCCCTACATTTGCATGCAACAACATGGAAGATTCATAAACATGGTGAGCAAGAATGATTAGAGAGCAAATGCAAAAATAGAGTACAAATTAGATCATTTTGCTTGGTTACTCTTGTTAGAGAAGGGCAGGCAGAAACTAGAAAGGACATAAGGGGACTTAAGTTGTGCGGTAATATTCTGCTTTTTGACCTTCATGTTCGGTTACACAGATATGTTAAGACTTGACAAATTAATTTAGGCCTACAGTAGGTAGGTAAAAGATAAGGTATTGGCCTTATATTTTGATAATCCTTTTCCTTATTTTCTTTTAATGGACCTTTAATCTTTATGAGGATTATACTTTAATATATATTTCTTAAGAGTAATAAGACAAAGAAGTGCTTTAAACATGGAGTTTTTGTAACTTTCCTGTTTTAATGCGATATAACTAGTACACTGTTATATCACTGGACTAGTCTAAGGCAGAGATAGTGTGTGTGTGTGTGTGTGTGTGTGTGTGTGAGTGAAGGATTTTAATAAAAAGTGGTAAATCAAATTTTTCCTACCAAAGAAAGAATCCGAAAAATTACACCTGATGATAGATTAACTTTATCCCAGGTTAAAATAAACTTCTAGTATTTTCTGAAGACACCTCTTAATAGTCTTCAAAAACTGTATTTCTTTTTCATTAAGTTCCAAGTTTTCTCCTTTATATACTACAAGGTGCATAAGATGGTTTTTATAAGTTCATAGGAAATAATTAGTAAAATAATACTTCAAATGCAGGGATTGAAATTCTGAAATGTATTTAAATAAGGACCTAAAATCTCATAGGCACAGCACAGTAGGCCCTCAAATGATGTTATGTTCAATATCATTTTGTTGTAACATTGATGAAAGAAAAAATAATCGCAGCCAACATTTATACATACAATATTATTCTACTGATCTGGTTTGTTATCATTTTACTTAAAGTTCCAATTTCCGATAATCTATGGACAATGCAAAATAAGAACCATAAGTGGCAAATAAAATTTTAAAACTATATCACAGTAAGATCTCTTAAAAAATTTTTTTTAGAAAACTACATTTAAGAAACTTTTCAGAACCACATAAAATATTTATTCCGCTATATATGAGGAAGAGTTGACTTCTGACTTATTACTATATTCTACTAAATATAAAGCATTGTGCCATATATTTCAAGTTTTAAACCTTGTTCCTTATTTTAAAACATGTATCTCTTTAGTGTCCCTCTTATTCAGATTTGATTTTCCTAAGCATTACAGATATATAATATAGTCCTTTTAATTGTGTGAATCATTTCCTTGATTGCTCAAGTTTTGAAAAAAATAATACTATATAAAGGAACTTTTTTTAAAAATTTAAAAAATCTACTTGCTAGAATATTTCTTTTTTCTTTTTTTTTCTTTTTTTAAAGATTTATTTATTTGTGCATACAGAACTGGGGTACAGGCCAGAGACTCAGGGGTGGTGAAAGACTTCACCAGAGACAGAGTGGGGAGCAGAACAGGCAGATCGATGAAGTACATTGCTGAGGGGAGCAGCGGGCGGGTCAGGAGAGGTCTGCCACGCCATGTGGTCACCTCCGGGGCAGGTGGGAATCGAACTCATGCGGAAGTGGTTTCAGCTTCATAGTGCAGTGCTTTAACCCGCTGCGCCACCAGGGAGGGCCTAGAATATTTCAAAATACATTAAAAAATGTTTCTAAGGTCGCTAACTTTATGAGAAAGCACTGGCATCTTTCTTCCTTGATTCCTTTCTCTTTTCCTTCCAACCTACTTTCTTTCTGCCTTCAAGGCAACAAGCTATATTGAAGCCTTATGTATGCAAGGCTTGCTATGACCAAAACAGTATACTATCTCTAATGGGTTGTGAAATCCAACCACAACAAATGTCACCATATGTTAGAAAGTGATTAAGAACTATGAAGACAAATATAGCAAGTAAAAGACATTCAAAGAAAATCATCAGACTACAAAGAATTGTTTTCATTTCAAAAAAGCAATTTTTGTTAAATCAAAATACATATACATGTTCTACGCCACTCAGCTGGTGAATAAACATTATTATATGGAAACTATAATAAAAAACAATAGACAAAAGTTTAGAAATTACCCTGGACGTAACATTGCCCACAGAAAATAAAAACAGCAGACTTTCTACAAAAGCTACTTTAAACATTCAGGGAAGCAAGTTCAGATCCCTTTCTCTTTTGAATTAAGTAAATGCATTGTTTGTAAAAGTCCTAGATTGTATCTTGTTATATCTAAAACTTCTTTTTACTAGGCATGAACGTTTATAATCAGAAAACATGTTCTGAAAGTAGAAAATTTTTCCTTTAGATATTTTCTGCCAAAATATTACTTACTTAGACAATCTGTTACATTGTGTATAATTTTCAACTCTGCAGATGGTTGCATTTCCTTAATATTGCCTGTCTATAATTTTAAGAAGCACTTCAGGGACTGTATGTGCTATACAAAATGGGAAAAAGGTGTTTTACAAAAAACTTACTTTGGAGTTTTCCCAAAGGAAGTTATTAAAGTAATAATATTATTAGATGTAACAGGCTACTCTGAATGTGAAATATTAATGGGATTTCCTGCCTAAAAATACTGAATTCCCTTGGTAGTTTCTTTGACTACACAAGTCAAACAGGCTCCTGATAAGAACAGAAAAACATATACTGGGTTAAGTAGTTAACAGCTATGCCACTGCATAGTTAATGGGGACAACTGGAATAGAATGGTGGAAGATAGCAAAGTAAACCTAGTTTAGAAATCAAAAATATGAAAATGAAGACAAAAAATGCAAACTACTCTTTGAGAGGAAAGATTAAATAGCAACCAAAAAGGAACTATATAGCTTTATTTCAACTTTTTTTTTTTTTAAAGATTTATTTTTTTTATTTGTCCATACAGAACTGGGGTACAGGCCAGAGGCTCAGGGGCAGTGAGAGGCTTCACCAGAGACAGAGTGGGGAGCAGAACAGGCAGATCGACGAAGTACACTGCTGAGGGGAGCAGCGGGCAGGTCAGGAGAGGTTTGCCACGCCATGTGGTCACCTCCAGGGCAGGCGG